TCCGAAGGTCTTCTCTACTTGGAATAAGGAGTATTCTTGTTGCTTGCGATGAGACGGCGCACCTGGCAAGATGCCTGCGTCTCGCTTGAATGCTGTGCTCTCTCGCCTCCTTACATTGTGTCGCTTCGTCGTGGGATCACCAGCCATCTAAAAAAGGAAATGTCCCCATTCTCTGTACTCTGTTTAACCCATTCGTGACAATCAGCCACCGGTGGCTGACAAAGATCTCACTCGGGACAATGGCATCCACCGTGGCTGCCGTGTTTCAAATGGAATTTGGAAAGTTTTCTTCCATGAAAAGAATCTTCATACCCTCATTCATCTACGCCAGCCCTGGGCAGAGGAAATCTCCCTCCACTCAAATTTTATTGAAGAAAAATCTCCTGACTGTCTGCTATTGCGCAATCCCGCGCGGTCGCGAATGGGTTAAGTTTCCTCTCATCTAATCCTCACTAACTTCGTACCTCCGATTTTCTTTTGAGAGCGCATCAACTACACTTAGGCGACAAGGATGCGCCTGTAAGTGCAGAACAGGGATGATCAGCCGAACTTTTTTCCACCGCCAGTTACAGTATGCTCATTTTCAGTGCACTGGTTGGAGGACCCTGCCAAGAAGAATGCCCTGTTCTCTGTAATTGCAGTGGGACAACTGTTTGGAACTATTCCCATCGTTCCTATCATGCATGCTATCGGATTGAGGTAAGACAAAGAAATACGAATTCATTCTGAGTCAACACAAGGTGGAAATTAGTAATCTCGAGCGACTTGTCGATAGGGGGTATAGCAAGGGTCGATTTCGATCAGTGCATTATTTTGGGAGGATGTTGTAAACAGCAGATGGATGAGAAGCATTCGAGGGTTTTACCAAGAATTCAAGAGTTTTACTGACGCGTGGGTGGTGCTACAGTGCCACATATGTGTTATCCTAAGAGCAAGAAGCAGGTCAATAATTCTCAATGAAGGAGCAGAGAATCACATTTTCGTGTTCTGGGAACGGAAAGCGGGAGAGCGAGAGAGAAGCGAGAGAGAGGAATCTTGTGTTGATTACTGGCCAGTGCATCCTTTCATAACTTCGGCCAACGTATTTTGGAACTGACGTCGGTACCTAGTGAAATCAGGCTGAGTTTGGATAGCGGACTCGAAGCGGAAAAGCGCATAATTACGGGTGAGACGCAGAAGGATGGTGTTGGTATTAATTTGGATTCCCTCCATGACATGGCCTACGTGGGTTCTAGAGCTACCGTATGCGAAGTACGGCATTAAAAACCCTCAGTAAGTATAAAATATCATAGGTGGCTCTCGGGACCAAGCTTGGGGTTGAGCCTATGCCGAAATTTTTGCAACCCTTTTTTCTTCCAGTGGTTGATGGTGTCGACGGTGTCGCTGAATCTAGTTCAACAGTAGTTAACGTGGCTTCGAGCGAGGTGCATGTAATTTCTTAGTGCAACTAAGATTTTTACATAATTTCGTTAACATTCCTGCGCTTTCCCTTTCCTTATCTTCCAAAAAGGCTGCCTCATTTCATCAAAGACAACCTTCTCTCATCCCTCTCCGTCCGACTCGGCCAGAGAGATGTCGAACAAATTTTGGACGAACGAAACCATCATCCCTCAAGGGATCTCGCATTATAGGACTCTCCCTACTCTCTTCTATACTATATCTGTTTCTGTAGTATCTGATTTTCCAACAGATGGCTCTGAACCCGGCATCCATTTCAACTCCACCCCATGAGCTCCTCCAAAACAGCCATCGTGTGTGTTTGGAAGGGTGGCAGGTAAGGATGTATGGTATAAGGATGCCGCTCAATTTAATGCGCTGTTCGTGGAAACTGTACGAAACTTCTCATGTTCATCGAAAGCACTACAGGCACGGTCCGATCAATGTCCACGACCCCTACAAATCCTAAAGACGACACCAATACTAAAATTACAAGTGCGGCCTCCTTCCTGGAGCTGCTCGAATGTACGGTTGATTCTGCCTGGAGAGTGCATTCCGCCGTTAGTATGCTGCCAGTAGATGCCTGGTACGCGCTGTGGCGAGAGCTGCAGCCGAGATTGAATTAGTGATTGCCAAGATAAGGGAAGGAGGGATAAAGGGAAGAGGAGAGAATGATGAGAGATGTAGCTGTGAGTGTGGAAGGTTGTTGCACTTACTCGGTGATTATGGAAACGGGTATTAGGGCGCAATGCGCTGTGGTTTAATATTTTGTTTTTTCTTTTTTGCTTACAGTTCTAAATACGAAAAGTTGTGCAAAAGGTCTCCCAAAGGGGAGCATCGTTTTGTACTCCTACTGACTAGTAAAGGGCGCCATTCGTTACGGGTCCCACTGCCTCCTGCTACAGTGAACCCTTCAATGTGGAGCGGGGTTCCGTGAGCCAGGGGCAGTGTAGCCAGTCTAGGGGGGTGGGGGGTGAGGGCAGTCACTTGACATGCGTGAGAAGCTGGAATGTTCGAATTCAACCGCGATCGCATGGGATCCCCGCGGGTTAAGGCAGTGGGTCCCGCAACGAATGGCGCCCTATACTAGTCAGTAGGAGTACAAAATGATTACTCCTCCCAAAGGGTGTGTTTGACAACGCGACCGTTCGAAAATCCATTGAAATTGAAGGAAAGTGCGTAACCCTGGTTGACCCCATAAAGAAGTGGAATGAGTAGGAAGTGCAGGAATAAATTCAGATACACATTCGCATTTTACGGACTTATGGCAACTTGTGGAACCTTGATGGCTCCCCTTGCGGTTGAGCTTGGACACGTTTTCTTAATGGTAACGAGACTTTTTCAGGTAAGTAGGACATCATATTCCTACATAATTAGTAATAGTTGGAAAATAATTACCAAATTTTGGTTCTGGTATAGTTGTAACTTGATTGTGATGTAATCAGGGATTCGCTATGGCTATCGCATTTGTGAGCGTTGGTGCAATCACTTCACATTGGTCGGTTCTTGTGGAATCCGGAACCTACATCGCCATATTATCCTGCAGTCCGCAGGTTGGTTAAAAGCTTATTACACGCCCACAAGGGGTGGAGACTGCAGCTTCGCTAATTGGCTGAAGCGCCCTGGAAGAGAGTTGCGATCTCTTAGGATTGTGGCAACATAGCCTTCCAGCTCCCCTCCACCTGTGAGTGGGACCACCGTATCCTCCTCTTCTTATAGGAGCCTTGCCTTGTGAAGAGCAGAAACTTTTCAATCGATGGTCTCTAAATAATCGCTTTCAAAATGATTTACTCTAGGTTTCACAAGAATGCTAGGTGTGAACAAAACTTTCGCCCCGACATTGTTTTCATCTTTTCATCTTTTCCCATCTTTTCGTTTTTTTTTCATCCCAAAGCTGAGTTGGGATGAAATGGTGCCCCGGTAGCGTAACTGGTAGCGCACTTGCCCGGAAAGCGAGAGGTGCGGGTTCTAGTCCCGCCTGGGGCGAAAGTTTTGTTCACAACCCAGCATTCTTGTGAAACATTCGCAAGGCGAACTGCGGCCAAAAACAGCAGTTAACAAACAAAAACAAGTCAAAATACTAGAGATAGCTAGTGTTTTTATGAGTGCTGTTATTTGCGTCGAAGTGCTGACGATCGCGTAATGGCAAGTGCGTTTATGTGAGTCATGTTCGGATTCTGAGATATCTCTTACTACACTCTTGGTATTGCAAGTGCAGCCGCGGTGGTTGCATTCTTCTGTCTCTACAGAGATGACCCGAAGAGTCACTGGTGAGCTATTTATTGCAATGCAGGATTTGTCGCAAATGCGGTGATTTTTTTGTGAACAAGGTTCTCACTTCTTCACTTAAACAATTTCATGGGCTAAAACCTCAACATTTATTTTTTTTCCGACTTTTACCTCTCTCCATTTATTCCCTTAATGGGCACCTTCACATGGAATCTTATCGCTTTCCCCACCCGAGAAAATTTTTGATGCAGTCTGGACAGACTGAACATGCATAGGAAATCTTTATTCCAAGAAGAATATGTCCTTTTTGATTCTTAGTCCTTAGGTGACCACTTGTGCATGCATAGCTCCAAATGGGAGAATAGTAGTAGGAATAGGACTAAACTGTCACCAAAATTTATAACTAAATTTCGTTAATTCATCTAAAACTGGGCCCATGCAGCCAGGGTGAAAAATCGTGGGGGATCTGCGATTCCGTGGGTACGGGGTGAGCAGTTGCACGTGGCGCGACACTATTCTCAATCAGAACTTGCGAGCTGTGTATCGAGGATTTTAACGGTCGGAACCTTAAATCATCCTGCCTAAGAACCAGACTTATATCTACAGAAACCACTACAATCTTGAGCCGGTTTATGAAGAAATCCACCAAGTCAAACATTTGCCTATCTTGATGAACAATGTCAATTCTTGGTGAGGGAACCGAAAAGTGGAGAAGGGAAAAATGATTTAAAAGAAACTCGAGATCAATTAAATTTCCATTTATATTGTTTTTTTTTAGGATGGTGAGTCCGAGGGAATTGTCTGCCATTTCTCTTGGAAAGGAAGGTCAATCTATCCAGGGGAACCTGTTCCCTACAAGGAAATTTGTCTGGATCGAACCATGCAAGCAGTCCTGCTTACCACTTTTGGCGGCAACACAGCTTTCTTCATTTTCTTGCACTACGGACCGACTTTTATCAATAAGGTGTGATTTTCGGGGCGCGAGAATAACAACCACACTGGAAAGTGATGCAGTACTTTTTGTGCACTTACAGGTAAAGACCCCAGATCGACTTTGTGGGGTCACAGCGGTCAATAATATGTGAAGCTGTGGATGCGGGGTTTACCATAAATAAAAAAGGAGCAAAGAAACTGTCGATGAAGCTCGCCATACAGGTTTCCCTTGAGATGAAAAAGGGGCAGAGTTGTCCTTACTCATTTCTGCTCCACGGCCAAACAAAGCCGCGGTGCTGTTAGCTGCTGCGCGGTAATCAATGTTGCGTGTCACGAGGTGCGACGTAACTCGTCCAAAGGCTAAGATTAGCCACCGAAAGCTGACTTTGTAAGACCCTACTGCCATTGTCGCGCACTTACGGCACACCTGTGGTCCTCGTTGACTACTCTATCTCACCCACTGAATAGATTCTTCGACATAACCTCTGCTGGGATGTCACTTTAAGTCAAAAGTTCTATGTGGCCAAAGGACGGATCTGGCGGCTGGAGGCTGTCTAGTAATTGGCCGATAAAAAACTTTCTTAAACTGTGCACAACTCATACAAGCTTCGTTGCGCTAGAACAGCTCTCCAATGAATTGCTTGGCTAAGGCGAATAATGGGAAAAGGTTTGACCTCTTTGTAAATCTACCAACAGATGGAAAAGTCTTCAAACGTAAGATTCGTTTTTGGAGAAGTGTGGCCAGGGTCGAACCCGTAATAATCTCAGAGGAGGGGACCGCAGTTGGCCCATTTTGGATGGAGGAAATCCTCTACCTTTCATTTGGTTGAGGAGTTTGGTACCACAGTTGACTTGGCACAACACCTACACATGGGTGTTTTTTTTCATTTTCTGATCCATTTGTGCACAGTTTAAGAAATCTTAGCTTCGTTGATCTGATAACTAATCACTGGCTTCAGGCTTTGGGATTTGACATAAGCGAGACTGGATTTGCCACTGCTCTACCATATGCACTATGTGTGGTTCTGAAGTTCTTAGCAGGACCACTGTTCGACCACTCCACCTTCATTTCCGAGAAGTATCGAATGATCATGTTCGCGTCACTCTCGCAAGGTGTTATGGTGATATGCTTCTTGGTGCTTTCCCAGGTAAGCTAATTTCAGATTCCATTGAATAAAACAATTGCTAGAAAAGGGTTTCCGAAGAAATTCCTACAGACCGTGAAAAGCTTCTCGAGCACAACCAACACGATTGGGCAAGAGCCATGTGAATAAATTACGAATAATACAGAAACTTCCCTCTCCGATACTTTAGTAGATTTTTTTGTGAGGCCTCTGACTGTTTTGTGTTACTACCCATTTGAAACATCAAAGGCACAACCCAGGCAAGAGTCGTGTGAACGATTTCCTTTGGTCTGTAGTATAGACCCCTAGAGGTGCATGGAAATCACCCGACGAGAACGCTAGGGCCTTGCAAAGAAGCTCCTGCAGCTGCAGTTTTTTTCTGTTGTCTGACGCCCTCTGTGTGCTCTCTCGCCTCACACTCTCCTCTCTGCGTTTAGTCTCTCATAACCTTGCAAGGGAGGTCGTTCAGGGTGTGCCAAGCTTTTTCAAAATCGTATAACTTCGTATGAATAGGCAGCGCGAGCACAGGAGAATCCAGTCCGTTGTCCCTGGACGGCCTCTAAAATCCCCAAAAAGGAGCTCCCTACTCGATCCTCGCGGTAACAAATTTTTGCGTTTCGAGTTAACGTTTCAAAATTCGCGCAAAATGGAGCTAGCTTCAATTACCGTTCACGATTACGACCGTCAGCAACCCTTACAAAGAGACTGATCAAAAAACTGATGAAGAAGGTGTGAACAAAACGGCCCAAAACCTGAACCTGAGCGTTCTGATGGATTCGTCTCCCTTCTTCTTCTGCGGCCTATTTTTTGCGGCAATACAGGTTCGCGATTCGTGTGAAACAGCCACACCGATTTGACCGCAGGGTAGGACTACCCCATGCTGTCAGAGCATGCGATTTTCAGATTCCTGCTCCATTTCGTTATTTAAGGCTTCGAACAGGTTGGTTGCCCAGATTGCATACAGTGCTGCTGCTGCGTTTAATGGCTTAATATTGTTGGCGTCATAAATTGCTCAAGTGGGTGAGTCAACTTTTATCATTTGATCAGAAAACTTTCTTGGAAAACTTTCGTGTCATTAGAAGCGTGCCATATGTTGACCGGTCTCGCTTCGAAATGCTTCAAATGTTTCATGCATTATAGAGATGTATGAGCTGCGGAGTGAACTCAAAGTGGAAAAGAAAACAAGAGAATTATAGAAAAATCCAAAAAATAAGGCCTCAAATTTCCAATAAGGTCGGCTCTGGTACGATGGAGGGTTAGTGTAACCATAGCAAACAAAAAAAAGGGAAGAGTCGCACTGATCTTCAATTTATCCCGGTGGGGGAGAGGTTGCACTGGTTGTCAGGGTAAGCACCTGATTCATACACTTTGGGCGACGAGGCAGGCACGGCCCTGTGTGTGGGTGCCCTGTTTGCTCGCAGTGTGGTTCTTACTATCCTAGAGCTTGCCTTCGAAGGCACCAGCGGGCGCGATGGCTGAGCAGCTGAAACGTTTCGATGATGTCTGCGTCATTAGTGTCTCAGACCCTTCAGCGCGTAGAGCGAGGTGGTACGACCATCTATCAACGCCTTTCCACCAGATGGCCTATGATGTCTAACAACACCCTCAGCCTCTCAGCCAATGCATCTTCTAGCAACTATCACAGATCTAAATGAAAGGATCCCACGATAAGACTAAAGTTCTAAAGGGGGAAACTCAACTAATGGGATCACAGGCTATAGGGTACCCGACAGGAGGCCCGTCGCGCGGCAAGAAGGCAGAGTCGGCGGACGAGTTGCAGCGCGTGATGTGCGATGTAGGACGTACAATGGTACATTCTATTTAACTTGACGCGAAATCACCTACAGTACGCGCTGGCTGACTCTGCCTTCTTACCGCGCGCCTCCTGTCGGCAACCCCCGACTATAGGGCGCGGATCGACAAGCAAATCGCAGCTAAAGATCGGCGAGCTAGCATTTCAGTCCCGACGTCGTCGCCGCGACGCTACCGACACGGCACGTCCAGCGACGGCTACCCACTTGTTGCAGGTCTCTAGCCGCTAAGCAGATAGAGCATAAGCGTTGAAGAGCGCAGCATCGTGACTGTCGCAGTACGAAAATTAAGGGGCAAGGAAGGGGTCCCTTTTCTCAGGGTTTTGACTCCATGGTTTTTTTTTGTTGTTTTTTTTCTTATCTGCACTACTGACCACCTCAATCTTAATTCTAATGAGCTGCTTTCTGGTCGCAAATTCCGCTTCTAATCGATAGTATGTTAGACTAATCACATGATCAGCTTTTCCATCAGCAACCGGTCTGTTTAGGTTGCTCGGCAGCACGTGCATTTCGTCATGGTGGGCGTCACCCTTGGTGGCTGCGCGATCTGCTTCATACTGCCTGTAGTCGTCGCTCTACTTTGCCCAAATAACACACTGGACGAGGTAAGCAATGAAAATTAGCTCTAGAACTGAAAAAATTTCCACATAGCACATTTTCCATCTGGTTTCCTAGCAACCAGCTGTTGATTTTCAGTGGTCGCGTCTTTTCCTTGGCGTCGGCTTCTTCGTGCTGCTGTGCAACGTTCCATTTCTGTTTCTGGCCAGCAGCGAACCGGCACCGTGGACGAAATCTGCTGCATTCCGAGAAGCGAGTGGAAAAAACTTAATGGCACAATCGATGGGGTCGATGGAGAAGTGCGACACCCGTATTCATCCCGAATCACCCCTTCCGTGGTAGAAGACAACGATGTCGAAGCGCTGTATCGAAGCGACATCAGGAGCCCCGGTTTGATGAGACGAAGTGAATCAGCGGAAGAAGATGACTCAACCTTTAAAAGACAGCCACTAGCTTGATGAACCCTGTACATCAGTGTAGATCTTGAAGAAAATGAGGTGGCTGGTTACATGCCTCTCAGCTAGCCTCAAGATTTCAATGGTCTACGGGTAGAGATAACCGCCGCGTCGGCCTGTTTCCTATTCTGGAGGTTTTCTCATACTTTTACCTCACTTATCGGCCTTCCTGTGAAAAAAATGGTGTACCGTGCTGAATTACTCGTGCTTCACTTCGAAAAAGCTCTCGTTTTAGGGGATGGGGTACCCTTGATAATTTTTGAGAAATTTTTCCTGCTCTTAGATTCCTGTTTCCGTTTCTTTCACACACATAATGCCAAATTCGCTCAATAGGTTCCGTTATAAAGTGCCGACTCTCCTCCTCACCCTCGTTTACTAGACGACAACGATACGGTTTATGCCTACCTACCTAGGGTAGGCCGATACTGATACCCTGTTTTTTTATTATTTGGTGCGTCAAGTCACCCTACGTTACTACTAGTAATAACGGGGGGTCGTACCGGGCTTGCCTGTTGAGTGAGGAAGGGGGGATCATATAGTTGGGAGTTGGGAGCGCGCGGGAGAAAAATTCGCCGTTTCAGCGCGTGTATATACCCCCTCCCCCTCCTAGAAAATGAAGCAGTGGGATTATAGGTAAAAGTGGGGTAAATGGTGGAAATTTAGGGAATTTTGGTAATTTTTACTGTTTCAGAGTGACTATATACCCCCCGCTCGACGGCATTTTTGGAGGAAAAAGTGGGCGGAGTTTGGTGGGTTGAGTGGTATCAGAATTAAATACTATAGAGAGATGATGGTGGTCGAGGTGTCGAAAAGGGGGTCGTATCAAATCCACCTTGGGGGAGGGGGGTCGTAAAAATTTTTTTCAAAAAGTAACAACGATAGGACCGACCCTGGTGCCCATTCGCCAAAAGGGGAGTGCCAGCGTTTAGACTATGAAACGTATTGTGAAACCGTACGAAGGCGTGGTTTTGAACCAGGGTTAAACGTGCGTTGAGAAGATCCCGAGACAGGAGAAAGAGTCGGCACTGCTCACGGACAATCGCTCTCACTTTCAAGCCGATCTACCTCTCATTCAAAAAAGTTGGTATAGATTGAGGGAAGGTGGGGTGCATAAACTTCTCGTTTTTTTGTAAATAGTTTTCAACATTACAAAACATCTCACCTCTCCTCTCATAATTTCAACATTTTCGAGTGCCACGCTCCCCCTTCTCCTTCCTTCTCCCCCCCCCGTCCCCAGATTCAAAGGAATCAGGTGCGGCCTACTAGTTGGGAATTTCCCAGCGCATGGTTGATCCTGAATTGAACTCAGATCCTAACCACATAGGCACAGCTCAAATTTACACTCGTGTGAAGAAGTTGATTGTGAATTGTTATTCATAGATAAATCGTTATTTCAACAATTTCTGAGGAATTTCATGACATTTCATTGACCCTTCTTCTAATCCTCGCTTGTTGATAAGATCCAAGATTCATGTGTGGCAGCGGATTTCTGCCTTTCAGCACCTGTACTGCAGAAATTCTTTGAATTCTGTTGAACTTTGAAGGCAATTTGAACTCGGATGTGAACAACATCCAGTAAAGAAACAACACTCCGACCGTAAAAAAAGCTTAAAAAGAAAAGCCTTGTTTGCTCGTGTGTTTGTCTGTTCTACCCGGCAGATTCGTTGGCTACGTAGTACTGAATTAGTAGACCCGGATGGTTAGATATTCACCCTTAGAGCACGTTGAACTGAACAGGGCTCGGCCAAAAGTGCTTACGGTAGTGCTTGGAGCTCGATCCGATGGGCTGGACTTGAACCAAAATCTTGGTTCAAAGTGCCAAAATTCCATTTCGAGTGTGATAAGGGAGTGTGTGCAAATAAAGGTTCAGGCGCATGGTCGCCGATAGTGTAATAGGAAGACAATTCTTGTACTTCAAAAGGTAAGTAATGTTCTGTTCGAGGAGGAAAGATCTCATGAAGGCGGTGATCGCGATGGCTTCGGTTCTGGTGACTTATCTGAACACATTGGTGGGAAGGTGTTAGGAGCCGGTCTCAACCCTTAGCACATTTGGGATGACGTACACCAATGGTATTCACTGGCGTCTTCAAAACTGCACCGCCCTTCAACCGTTTTGATCATTGTTTTTGAAACCACGTACCGGGATCAGGAAAGCCCACCTGTTCCATCCCCGATCACGGTAGGCAGGGGGTGAGCGGCGCTGCGAGAAGAGCGTGGCTGGAGCAGCGGCAGTGTTAATTGTCGCGCAGCCAAGTCGTGGTGGAAGGGTCATTGGACGTATTTCGTAAAAGCATTATTGAATAAGAGGTTTTTTCCTTTACACGGTAAAAAAGAGAATTTTTATGCAAGAAAGGTGAATCATCCATTTGCGCCGAAATTCCGTTTCCGTATCGATTGACCTAGAGTCAACAAGTAACACTGGGGCAACTTTAGCTACCCATTGTGAAAGTTAGTCTGAACTCTGCCCTTCTTCATGCCAAGGTGGAATGCGGCCGAAAGAGAGGGGCGATTTGGTCATGGCGTTAACGAGCACTTCTTTCGGATTTTTTTTTTCGTTTTTAAATCACCACCCACCATCAGCTTCATAATTCAACCCCTCCCCCTACCCACTCATTTTATCCCGAAGCTTGCCTTTGAGAGCACTTTCCAAGTAGATTTTCGTGTTAGTATCAATATCGTCTCCAGAGGAGAGCAATGTGTATATTGCTCAATAGGTTATCGCCACAATTTTTTTTAGCTTGACGCTCCTGGTTTCCCCTCTTTTCCTAGCGTTTTTTTTTCAGCTGTAGAGCAGAGTACAAGTCCGTTTTACCGAATGCGAGTTGAATCCAACATAAGAACTCTTCTGGGTGCCGAACTGAGCCAGGAGAGTTCGAAGAGTGATAAGAGAAATGAAATAGAGAAATAGAGAAATGCGATTGAGATTGGGCCACCGATAGAACCACATAAGAGGCTGATGGCTAGTAGACAGATCCCTGTTCAACAGAAATTCGATAGGTCACACTTTGCAGCTACGGAAGCATTTCACTATAGACTGGATTCACTATGAAGGTGCCGGACTTGAACCACGGCCCACCCTGCAGTGTAATGGAAGGGAAGGGCACCCTTATAGACGGAGGGAACACTAGTAAAAGAGTTTTTATTTATTCACTTATTTCCCTCTTAGTATATTTGCGCTGCTACTTCGGTGAGGTCACGGGCCACGGTAGAAGATGCCCTGGACAGAGCAAAGTGGCGACGACTGATAAAGCCAGCGGACCTTGCGACTGCGTTGGACTAGGGTAGTGACTTACGTACGACCTGGACATCTGTTATGGCATGCGCCGGAAGGAAACCGCGCTCCAGTGCTACGATTGAACGCTTTCTCACGATTCAAATGGACCGGCGCCAACGGCGTGAGAAATACGCTAACGTCTGTCGTCTCTCGCCGCGCGCCAATCGACAAGTCAGAGTTGCATCATGTCGTCGCTGTGAATGGTTCGTCCCGAGTAGCCGGTTGCGGAGAAGTCGACAACGTTGTGAGCTTTACGCCTTAAGTCATCAGCTCTCTTCTCTCCGCCTTAATGTCATCTTCGAGCCCGGCGGACCGGTAGTATGCCCTTCTCCAGTTAGTCCCTTTTGATAGTAGTCTATCCGACCTTCTCTTCTCTCATCCTCATTCCTTGTCTTCCTCATCTCATTCTCTTCTCTTGTTATCTCATTACCCGTGTTGTCATGTATGTCATATTAATTACCTTCTCATGTCTGTAGATATTTGTCATAAAAGTAGTAGTATATTGTGTTCTGTCATGTAGTAATATATAACACGTTTAGTCGTAATATCTTTATTGCGGTCAATGCGGTTAACAACGTCCTTAGCAAAGGGGCCTCAGCAATACCCGGGGCAGGCTGCAGCAGTCGGCTGCCACTTAGAGCATTCGGTGCGACAATCCCCCTGGAGGGTGTGTGGACCCTTATAATATCCACATTCTGCGTGGCCAAGTGTCCCATCCGATGCGAGTAAGATCCTCGGGACATTGGTCGCGACAACTAGTGCTAGGAAGGAGAAGAAGAAGAACGCTGTTGCCGATACTATTTCCTCTCCAGGTTTTGCTTCAAGGCCACAAAAACGTATTGTTTCAAGGCTAAAAAAACGTAATGTATGAAAGTTTTATTGGTATCACATTTAACAGATTGCATTTATGCGAACATCTTATCACTTGTGCTCATCGTCAGTCGCGAGCCACCAGTCCCCTACTAAAGACCCTGGAATGGATTGAAACTGTAATCGTGCTTGATGAACAATCCAATCCTTGGCCCGATCTGATACACGCTTCTTTCTTCAATCCAAGAGCTACACGGGGCAAGAACTACGTGTTCAAAGTGCCATGTGTACCTGAAAGCTGCAATAATTCTCAAAGTAAGGAATTGGGTTCTTAAATTCATTGAGATTACCGAGAATCGTCTCCTGCTTCTGTTTGGAAAACGACATCGACGTCGATCTGATCAATGGCCCATGGGTCGTCAGGTTTAGCTTCGAAACGAATATAAACAACGTCTGCTCTGGGAACGCAGTCGATATTACCCTTGAATGTTGCTGCTCTTTATAATGTAATGGGCTTTCGGATCTGTTCCAGTTAGGGGGGGGGGCATCCTGATGCAGTTTTTCCGGAAAACTACGGCTACGGGAAATCATCTTGTTCAGTGAGTCCTTTGATGCAAAAACACATAAAGTTTCAGAAAGAAGGCGCAATGTGGTTCGGGGGAGGGGCAGCCACCGCCGCGGCGCATGGAATGTTTGCGCCCTCTCAACGAAATAGTGTAAACTCGAACATTCCAGCTTTTCGCGCTTGCTGAGTGACTCGCCTTACTCCCCACGCCCCCTCCCCCCTTTAGAGTGCCGCCTACACTCCCCTGGCTCACTGAGTTCCCGCTCGACACTGAAGGAAGCAAACATGCCGCGCGCCGTGGCGGCAACTGCCTCCCTGAATCCATGAGCTTACTCATCCAACGTAGATCCTTGTCCCTTCACGAGGCTTTTTCGCATTATCTTAAAACTCGTATTATATTCAGAAAACACAGAGAAATGACTTGAAGTGAAGCTGTTAACAGTTGTAAATTTAGAGGACTTTTTAGCAAATTAGGGTGCTAACTTAGTTGGGGGGGGCCACGCGGCGGCGCGGCAGTCTGCTCACCTGGGCTCTCTCGAGCGAGACAGTGTAAACTCGAACATTCCAGCTTTTCACGCATGTCAAGTGACTGCCCCACCCCCACCCCCTAGACTGCCTACACTCCCCCTGGCTCCACGGATTTCCGAAGTACATGCCAGGCGAGCAGACTGCCGCGCCGCCGCGTGGTCCCCCCCCAACTAAGTTAGCACAAAAATTGGCAATGGAGCAGGTCAGGCGCTGCTGAGACCCACTTTTTTCAGGCAAAACACACTCGAAGAAATGACGTTACTGCGAAACTAATAACATCGCATGGCTTCTGAGAAGTCACTGAGCAAGATGATCCCCCCCTCTAGCTGGAATTGACCCGGTTTACAGAACTTTGCTCTTTGAGGGAAAAACTTGATTTTTAATGACGGAAAGTTCTCGTTGTAATGCAAGTGGGATGGACAATTTTTTAAATACGGTACGTGTGAAATGTATGTAAGTGGAGACTGCTGCCCGGTACCATGACGTGAGGAGACGCTGTGAAGTAACTCACACATTCCAGCTTTTCACGTATGTGCCTCCCCCTAGATTGGCTACAATCCCCCCTGGCTCATGAAATCCCCCGAAAGAAATGAATGTGAATGAGAGTGAAATGTCACGTAACAACATTGTAGCGGGCAGCAGTTCCCAATTACATACATTTCGCGCCTACCGTATTCAAAAAATACGGCGTGCCCATCCCACTTGGATTGCACCAAGTTCTCCTTAGTTCTCTAGAATTTTCCGTCGAAACTGTGTTTTCAGCACTGTTTGCAATCGAAAAGGCGTGCTACTAGTCAAAAAGAGGTCTAGAACCGTTTTGCAAAAGTTTAGGAGACCGAAAGGATAAAAGGCAAAACTAGCACACTCATCAAGGATTCGAACCTCCTACAAGTCCATCCGCTTACCAACTGCGCCACCGAAGCACATCCCCTTGCGGCTCGAGTGACTCATGAACGCACTCCCAGCCGATAAACGATTTCGCAACTTCGTTCAGAGAATCGTTTAGCAGATTTGGAGGGCGGATTCGAATTCAGCGTCCCAAGATTGGTACAGAAATATGCATCTCATCTTGAAAGGCCATGGCGACGTGGGATCCTTTCCTTGTAAGTAGGGATTGATAACATATAAGATAAAATTTGGGTTCGCCTGCTTGTAATAGCCTCGCGAGCCATTCATTTGAAACCTTTCCGAACAAAAACAGTCGGTGGAATACTTTGTCATTTTATTAGACTCACATCTTCGAAGCATTCCTCGAGCGTCTCGTAAGGAGAATCGATCATAAGTTTTCCCTGAAAGTGAGATAATATCGCGCATACACTATGACTTTGCCGACACCCACTATTTCTCAAATCCCAAAGAACTCATCCTTTCGCTACTATAATCCCTAAACTGGTAATGCAACAATTTAGTCAATTAAAAGGACGAATTCACGATTAGAATGAAGGTCGAAGAAGGAGTAATTCACCTAGTTGAGGGACCCGCGGACCTCCTAAGGGTGCGGACTGAAGCGCAATTGGCACCGAAGGAGTTGACCTCGGCGACCTATTAAGGCTCAATCTTGGCGCGGTGGGCCAGTGCACGCCCACCGATCATCTGATCACTCGCCGCAGGTCTATACGTGGCGAGTGATTAGATAGGTGAGAGAGCGTAGTGTTGAAGAGGGCACAGCGATGATAGTCGCATCAATGCTCAAATCAACGGGCAAGGAAGGGGTCCCATTTCTCGGGTTCTGGGCCGTTTCTCATGGTTTTTCCTTCTTTCGTGTACCACTCACCATCCTAAGTTAATTTGAAATGGGTTGCCTTTCCAGCGTGAATTCGTCCTTTAAGCTTTCTGGTATGAATCAAAAGCTGAAGGCCATCGGATAAATTTATGCCGTAGGAAATCTCAACCCAAGTAAGTGTCTCAAGTATTTGTAAGTCATTTCTGATGTAGGGTAGAAAGGTGCTCTCCGTTAAGTTCACCTGTTTAACTTGAGTACACATATATCCTACTAAAGCGCTTCGTCTGTCGTCTGTCGTCTGTCGTTCTGTATGTCTGTCACGAAATTCCCTAGCTCCTCGGGATCCGCCTGGAGGGACCGGGTCAAGTGTGGGATGGGTGGGCAAGGTCTCACGAAGTACAAAACACACATCAGCTAAGCGGAGCCCCGCCCACAGTGGGCGTGGCGTGCATCGAAATGAACTGTACTGACGACCAGATTTCAATTCAGTACAAAACAGCCTCGAAACTAGGGAAAAATGTGGCTACCATGGCAAGAAAGATCGGATCAGGGAAACCCACTTCCGATTGACGGAGCGTGCACCAATGTGGGCGGAGTTATCCACGAAAATTATAACTCGGTTCCAAGAAGTCCTGGAGACCGGGAAAAAGTGGAGTCGAGTCTGACTACGGAAAGGAGGTCAAATGCTATTAGTGGGTAGAGCACGCACCTAAGTGGGCGGAGTTTGCCAAAAGTGTCGTAATTTGGTTCCAAGAGGTCCCAGAGACCGGTGAAAAAGGGGGTAGAGGTCGGCGAAAGGAAGGGAGGCCAAATGCTATTGGTGGGCGGGCACGCACCGAAGTGGGCGGAGTTTGTTCCAAGACCTATAAATTGTTTCTATTTATATAAAGTGTTTCTAGGGAGTTCTAGAGATCGGAAAAACGTGGGAGGCAAGGAAGAAAAAGATGGGTGGGGCTGCACCGAAATAGGCGGAGTTTGCGACGAGATTTATAAATCGGTCCGGAAGCA